TGATCTTCATATTGTTCATCTGGCAAATGGAGATGATACTTTGCTCTTAGAGTTGTTGTAAGGATTAAATATACATAAATTATTCTGTGTAGTACTGGCACTTAATAGACATAGCTATTTATCAGTATTACTAGTGACAGTTATAACTTCATACTACAAAAAAAGGGAAATTTGGGAAAAGTACAGAAAAATCCCCATTAATACCACATTGTGTACATTTATATATTTTTTTTCATATGATCAAGATGATTATTATATATACTAGAGACCCAATGCACGAAGATTCGTGCAAGAATAGGCCTTTTTTCCCCTGACTGCCGGCACTGCCTTTGCTCCGGCTGGAGCCACCTTTCTGCCTTCATTCCAGCCCGGAGCTGCCTTTCCACCTTCCCATGCTGCCCAGAGGCCCGGAGTGGCTGGGGCCACTTGGCACCTGCACATGCAAATTAACCCACCATCTTTGTTGGGTTAATTTGCACACTCACTCCTGATTGGCTGGTGGGTGTCGCAAAGGTATGGTCAATTTACATCTGTCTCTCTTATTAGTGTAGATAGTTTTGCTTCTTTCACTTAGTATATCTTGAGCTCTTATCTATAATAATGTAATATGATAATTAGACCGGACGTCCTTCTGGATGTCCTTCCTTCTGGACAAAGCTGTGGTGGGCAGGGGCCGAGGCAGAGATGGCTGCCATGGTGGCGGGGGCCAAGGCCCTTGCACAAATTTCATGCATTGGGCCTCTAGTTTTCTCATAATATTAATAGTACTTTGGAAGCATTTTGAAAGGTTACATTATATTCTGCTTTATATACAACCAGAATTTATGTAATCCTTCCATTATTGTTGGACATTTAAGTTTCCATGTTTTCACTATTCAAATAGTCTGAAAGGAATATCTTTGTATATAAATTATCCACATTTTAAATAATTTCTTTAGCATAAATTCCTTAGAAGTACTGGCATATATTTATATTTACATATATATTTGTAAGATTCTATATAACTAAATTATTTTCTGGAAATATTATTTAAATTTATTAACACACCATAAGTGTATAACCTTAGCAGCACTGAATATTATAGTTTTTTACAGCAGTAATTTTTATAAATTTTACTTGAGGCATATTAAATGTACTAACTGAAATGAATGCAGTTTAAAAGTATATGGATGACTATTTTCTAAAGTTAAATATAGAAACTTTTAATAAGTTATTTTTGACCAAGTGTGGCAGACATTGGAGAATTAACCCGCATTCTTAAATAGAATAAGAGGTTCTGTTTTTCAGATTAGCTCAGGGTTCACTAGCAAATCAGTAATTATTTTTGATCTGGACTGTTTTTGCTGAAAACAGTTCTAAAATAAGTATTATTCATGACCTAAGTATACTGATTGTACGTGAATTTTTTGTTAATTTTAATGTTTGTGGATTTTTCCATTTGTTTTCATGATTATAGATTTGGTTGCTGAATTAAGAATCAGGAGACTTGATTTCTAGTCATTCTTTCTTTTGTAAAGAAATCACCTAAACACTGAAGAGTATTTCCCTTATCTCTATTTTAAGTGTAATTGGTTTACAATATTGTATTAGCAATATTATATTAGTTTCAGGTATATAATATAGTGATTTGACATTTATATACCTTACAGTGTGTTCATCACACTAAGTCTCATTGTGGTTTTAATTTGCATTTCCCTGATGATTAATGATATTGACCATATTTTCATATGTCTCTTAGCCATCTGTATGTCATCTTTAGAGAAATGTCTTCATGTGCTCTGCCCATTTTTTACCATTACTGTATCTGTATAATACACATAAAAATGATCTATCCTGAGGAGATAACCCTACAAATAAAAAGCTTTATACATGAAAAATCTTAAAAGTTGTTACAGAAAAAAAAATTAAACTGGCAAATAAAAACGTATTACTGATTTTTTAAAGAAAATACTTTTTCTTAACTATTTGCCTAAACTAGGATGCTAAGTTCCATTTGACAGAGACTTTGAAGCATCCATATTGCTGATGACCTGAACTATAATGTTTATGTCCATATAGCCTACACTTTTCTCAAGGAAAAAGCACTGAATGACTGTATCAGATCAGTTGGATAAGCAAATGATCACTGATACCATTTTTTCAAGAGTTTTTTTTTTAAATTGATTTCAGAGAGGGAGAGAGATAGAAACATCAATGATGAGAAAGAATCATTGATCGGCTGCCTCCTGCACAACCCCACTGGGTATTGAGCCCACAACCCGGGCGTATGCCCTGACCAGGAATTGAACCCGATTTCCTGGTTCATTAGTCTACACTCAACCATTGAGCCACACCAGCTGGGCTTCAAGAGTTTTTTTAACCAACTTATTTCTGAAAGTCTTTAAAAAGATTATTTCATTTTATTCTCTCTCTATTTTAAAGGTGAGCCGTTCATCTTTGCTAATAGAACAGCCTGTGAAAAAAAGACCTCTCTTGGAAAATCAGGTGATAAATTCTGTGTGTGTTCAGCCAGAGCTACAGAATAATACAAAGCATGCAGATAATTCATCTGACACAGAGTTGGAAGACATGATTGCTGAAGGTCTGTGGATTTTACTTAAGATACCCTTAATTCACTTTGACTTTTACTGCTTGAAACAGAACATGGATTTTTATCCCACATATGTTTTTTTACTTGGAAGTATTTACTTTTATTCTCAAGTAATGCATTATTTGATTAGAATAATGGGAAAGGTAACCAGACTCTTAATGGCCAATTAATAAAAATAATAAGACTGGTTAATTTACATACTATCAGTTAATTTGACTTTTGAAAGAATGTGGGTGGGAAAAATTCCATTATACATGAAAGTAATTCAAAATTTTAGCATCAAAACAACCAACTTTCTGGTTTTTTCCCAAGTTAACTTAAATAAGTGACTATTTTATTGAGTTTGCTTAAATATTTAGAGCTTCTGAGTTGTTTGGCTTAAGCTTTCCTTATTTTGATGTTTGATGTCTAAGTAATTATCCTCAATAAATTAGCATATTCATCTGAAATTAATTCATTCCTTTTTGAAAATTTTTATAATCTTTACCTGAGGATATGCTATATATCTCCATGGCACAATGTACTAAAATTCATATCCCACAAAGTACGTTTTGAAAGTGTTCCTCCTGCAGAATAGTGGCTTTGTCTTATTCATCTTCATTTCTCTTACAGTGCTTAATAAAGTTATTTGCACATTTTAGACGTGTTGCATACTTAGCAAAATGAACCTTTAAAATGTATTGCCTATGTATAGAGAAAACGCCACAAAATTTTTATGCAGGATAAGGAGGGAATTTATGGAGGTGGTTGGTTTTGGAGGCTTTGCCCTGCCAAAGTGGCTGTGGGTTGAAAAATTCAAAAATCAAAAAAAAGAAAGAAAAGAAGAATTCGAAACTCATTCCTTTAAGTTTCCTGGAAGGTCTAAACTAGCAGCATCCCACCAAAATAGAGGCTAAATGAAAATTTGCCACAATTTTTGTGAGGTTTTTTTCTTTGTTTCCTTCTTTTTTAGAGACATTAGAAGAAATGGACAGCGAGTTGCTCAAGTGTGAATTCTGTGGTAAGATGGGATATGCTAATGAATTTCTGCGGTCAAAACGATTCTGCACTATGTCATGTGCCAAAAGGTATTTCTATTTTGAATTTCCTAAAGCACAAAACAACCACTGTAATAAAACCAAAAAACTTGTAGAGTTTACCAGTAGTCAAAACTAGTTATTACAATATAGAGGAATACTATGAAATAGATATTATGTGGAGCTATTTTGGTAGTTAGTTCTTAAATTTTGCTCTTTGAAAGTTATATAGTCATAATACTTACAGTTAGTTTTTCAGCATACTCTAATATTTAAGTAGCAATCTCCTGGTGGTAAGAATATATGCTTAGGAAAATCCCTCCAGTGAATAGACTTACTAGTCTTCAAGGTATCAAAACAGTTTTTGTTTTATCACCTGATTTTTGTTTATCAATATTAAAATCCTGGATTTACTTTGTTTCAAAATGTTTTCTTTTCTTTTAATATATCCTATTAATTTTAGGTTTCTAAATAGGACAGCTATCCATGTTCTCTACATTGTTATATTGTCAGTAAAATATCTCATTTCTTTTTTTTTTTTTTTTAATATATTTCATTGATTCTCTACAGAGAGAGGAAGGGAGAGAGACAGAGAGTCAGAAACATCGATGAGAGAGAAACATCGATCAGCTGCCTCCTGCACATCTCCCAGTGGGGATGTGCCCGCAACCCAGGCACACGCCCCCTACCGGAATCGAACCCGGGCCCCTTCAGTCCGCAAGCCGACGCTCTATCCACCGAGCCAAACCGGTCTCGGCAAAATATCTCATTTCTAAATATGTATTTGCAATAGTAATATTACAGGTAAATAGTATTGATAACAAAATAAATGTTTAGTATCTTCATTGATCTTAGTCTCAAGTTTAGTTTACATTAAAAAAAAAAAAAAAGCCCCACCTCTGATTCTGATAGTGCTAAAAATTCATTAACAGGAATCTCATTTAAAGTGGAGAGGCCAGGCCGAAACCGGTTTGGCTCAGTGGATAGAGAGTCAGCCTGCGGACTGAAGGGTCCCGGGTTCGATTCTGGTCAAGGGCATGTACCTTGGTTGCGGGCATATCCCCAGTGGGAGATGTGCAGGAGGCAGCTGATCGATGTTTCTCTCTCATCGATGTTTCTAACTCTCTATCTCTCTCCCTTCCGCTCTGTAAAAATCAATAAAATATATTTTAAAAAATAAAATAAAATAAAGTGGAGAGGCCAGAAGGGGGAGCTCTCGTGACCAATGATAATCACAAGGCACAACAGAGAAACTTTGTAATACTCTTTCTAACTTACTTTTCCCCTATATATTAGAATTTCCTCTCCTTCATTGAGGAAATAGAATAGAAAAATAGATGATCAGAAGGAAAGTGTCTGACTCTTCGTATTTTACCGCGGTTGCATATACTCATGCTGGGTTGCAATTCCTTGTGCTTGAATAAACCCACTCTGCTGGAGAGATATCTGGCTGACTTTTTGTTTACAGTCAACATAATAAATCTTTATATTGGTATTTACCATGAAAGGTGAAATGTACGTACAGGTTGATTAATTTGAAATTTGTTCTCTATTTGAAAGAGAGTTTAGGATCTTAATTTTATACATCTAGGGAATTTCTTTTTTTTGTGTGTGTGTGTTTCAATAAAACTTTATTTATAAACACAGGCAGTGGTCTGAATTTGGCCTGTGGGCCACAATTTGCTGACCTCTGATCGGGTCCTACTTTCTTTTTTTTTTTTTTTTAACATATTTCTTATTGATTAAGATATTACATATGTGTCCCTGTCCCCACTTCACCCTCC